GACGATCAAGAAACCGGGATTGACCCGGTTTATTTCTTGAAGTTCCCTGTCTTGAACGACAAGATAGAGGACCATAACCAAACCCAACATCTCATGCCTTCTCATCAGACGTCTCAAGAAGGAGGTGAGTGTGGAGGAAACATAGGCAACGTGTTTCTTGAAGAAAAAGAGGATCAAGACGACGACAACAACTCCGTGCAACTCCGTTTTATTGGAGGAGAAGAAGAAGATAGGGAGAACAAGAATGTTACGACAAAGGAGGTGAAGAGCAAGAGGAAGAGAGCTAGAACGAGCAAGACCAGCGAAGAAGTGGAAAGCCAACGGATGACTCATATCGCGGTCGAAAGGAACCGTAGGAAGCAAATGAACGAGCATCTTCGTGTTCTAAGATCTCTCATGCCTGGCTCCTACGTTCAAAGGGTATGATATTCATAAATTAAATTATATCGTATAGAAAACATTTTTGTGAGTAGTGTGTTTGATACCACCGTCTCCAACTATATAAAATTCAAGATAAATTTCAATGTATAATATAGGGAGACCAAGCGTCAATCATAGGAGGAGCAATAGAGTTTGTGAGAGAGCTCGAGCAACTCCTACAATGTCTAGAATCACAGAAGCGTCGAAGAATCCTAGGAGAAACCGGTAGGGACATGACCACGACAACGACTTCTTCTTCTTCTCCCATAACTGCGGTAGCTAACCAAACACAACCGCTCATTATTACTGGTAATGTAACCGAACTAGAGGGCGGAGGAGGGCTTCGGGAGGAGACCGCGGAGAACAAGTCGTGCTTGGCTGACGTGGAGGTGAAGCTGCTAGGGTTTGATGCCATGATCAAGATACTTTCAAGAAGAAGGCCAGGACAATTGATTAAGACTATAGCTGCTTTGGAGGATCTTCATCTCTCTATTCTTCACACTAACATCACTACCATGGAACAAACCGTCCTCTACTCATTTAATGTCAAGGCAAGATATATCATATGATTTCCTAATTAGACTAGACTGACTAGTCATAAAACACATTTATAAATTTATTTAGTTTTTGTTCAATATAATCATAGATTATGGATTACTATTGTTATAATTAAAGTATATATATTTTTAATAACTACCATAGGCTAACATGAGTAGATGTAAAATGTGCAGATAACAAGTGAAACGAGGTTTACGGCAGAAGACATAGCAAGCTCCATCCAACAGATATTTAGTTTCATTCACGCAAATACCAACATGTAAGTATATATCTCCTATTTAAATATTATTTCGATTAAAGACACTTTTAATAAGTTTATGTTGGTCCCTTAAAAACAAAAGTTTATGTTGGTTCAATGTTATCCATTTCAGATGTTTTTGTTTGTTTTTTACCTTTTCGATATCATGATTATTTATTTTTGTGTTCGATATGGTCTATCTAATCATCAAGACATCATTACTATATATGTGTGTGACTGCGTGAGTAATGAGTCTGGTAAAATCCCAAGAGATAAAAATATGAATATATTGCTATTTGTTATGATTATTTGCTTTTTTGTAAGATATGGTGTATCTAATCTTCATGATTATTTTATTTCTGTGTTAGATTTGGTGTATATGTATTGTGACATTTTTATCACATTATTTTGAAGCTAAGTGCTAAAGGTTGGAAACAATTTTATTTCAGATCAGGAAGCTCTAACCTGGGCAATGTTGTGTTTACTTGAAAATCATCCCACGGAATGTGTCGAACTGTTGAAGATTACCATAATCTCTACATATTGGTTTTTTTTTTAATGCAATTTAAACTTTAGTGATGATTGTGTAGCTTGTATCGTTAGAACTCGTTGTTGTGAATTTTGCTTTGTTGGTTTTGAAAAAGCGGTTTAGAATGTTAAACCACTTATTTACTTGAAATATATCTTTGTTGACAAAAAAAAAGACAATGCATGAAAAGTGGGGAAATGGTGGAGGGGAGGGATAGGAGCTATCGTTTTCTTTATCATAGTATATATTTTGATTTCTTGTTAGCGAAATATTTTGCAGTTTTATTTCAATTCATTATAATTTTTTGTTTAGTATTTCTTTTTTTATAAATTCTTGAAATTTTTTTCTCCGCGTCATCCCGGAGATCCCGAGTCTTAGTAGTATTAGAAATAGCCAATTTTAATCTCCAAAAATTGACAATTCGGTTAAACGAAGTGACGCTTTTACACTTTTCCAAAAGTGATTTAACTAAAGAAACTATGTGTCAGAAAACAAATTTGTTTAGGAAACTCAAAATGATTGTCTTTAATCTATTTCTCCTCAACAAAGACGAAACTCTTGTCGTCATCTTCCTTATATATTCAGTTATTCACCATTAGCTCTAATCCAAGTCAGATCCGACACAAACACAATAAAATCCAAACCATTGCTTGGTTTTCTTCTCACACCAAGTTGGTTCGTACGTGTAAAGTCTTGACAGAGTCCAAGGCCAGAGTCCCAATTCCAAATCCGTCCAAAACTTGGAGATCCTTTGTTATAGCTTTATATTTATCGAAGGTAAGCAGAAGAGAAGTATTGGTCGAAGTAGAAAACAAATAAATGAAATTGAGATAAATTTTGCTATGTTTATCCAGGGCCGGCGCAGAGGGCAAGCCACCGAAGCCACCGATTAGAGCCTCAAAATTTGAGGACCTTTTTACCTAAAAATTTGTTAAGTTTTCTTATATACAATAATTTTTGTAGGGCCTTTTAAAAATATTGTGGACTTTTAGAAACAACTACAACATTCTTTTTAGTGGTAAAAATCTGATTTAAAATAATTTTTTTTATGGGCTTTAATTTTGCTTAGGACACCTAAATTTACCGGGCCGGCACTGGTTTATCAATGGTATTATTGTGTTAAATTGTAAAATGGAGAGAGTTGATTTAGTTTTCTTTCTTCTTTTTTCTTTTGTCGTGAGTTGATTTAGAATTCAATGTTTGTAAATAGAATTTTGTTTTGTTTCTTTTTACACTTTAATAAGAAATGGGATCACTTCACAGTCTTTGTTTACAAAAGGTATGAGAAAATATGGCAAGACTGATACATGAGGACCACTGTTGATTACTCCTAATCGATTTTTCTTGGGGATAAAAAGTGCAAGCACGTGTATAAGTGTACTCTCTCGATATTTGATACTTGAAACGTGCCTCACTAGATGTCAAAAAGAAAATGAAAATAAACATCTCTTTTTTGCCATCCTAGAATGGTTGGAGTTTGAGACTTTCCTTATCTCTACTCTATATACCATACGACTCAATATTTAAGTCAAATAAAAAGTAGCGTTTTCGTAAATAAGAGTAAACTAGTTTTGCCATAACGAAATTATCTTTGTCACCACCATCCATTTACTCTATACCATACGACTCAATATTTAAACACATGATTTATCCTGTAAACCAACTGCAAGTGCACAACAAAGGTGATTATATAGCTTTACTTTTATGGTCAATTTAGTCCTATAAGACAACAATACTTTTCTATATGCAATTAATTTAATTACTCTTCAGTAATCGTTTGTTTTTTTTTTTTTTTTTTCTATTTCAGGTGGACTTAAAAGAGGCTGCAATTCAACAAACATAAATCATACAACACTCTTTTGGCAATGTCCACGTCTTTTATTTACGCTATTTTGTAATATATTTGTATGTCCGTCAATTTCTCTTTTTTTTTTTTATCATCTAGATTTATTATTAATTGCAAATTATGAGAACTGTTATATAGACGATTCTACAACTGACAATTTCTGCCGATTCTTAGTAGATCTACGACAGACTACACTTTCTTTTTCATGATCTTGATGAATACCTTCAATGATCCACGACCTGGCGACACTTCCTTCTCTGCGTAGAATCCTGGCTCACGGCTATAATTGTACATCGCTCTTAGTGTAAAAGCATTAATCAACTTTTGGTCAACCAATGGATCAAGAGGCTTCCACGTCCGTCAATTTCTCAGAAATTTAATTTTATTAATCTAAGGACTATTTTTTGGAAAAAAAATTCTTCTTTCATTTCATATTTGTAACTTTTTATTAAAATCAGTTAGAAAATAGTGTACAAAAATGTTTTGGGAGGATTGTTTTGCAATTTCCCTTCAAATGGGCAAAAAACATAAAATAATAAAAGAAAGCCCAACGATCTCATTTGTAACCGTTCTCTTCCTTGGCCTCCGTCTTCTCCGATTGATTTAGGGCCGCCGACACTCGTCGGCGGTTCCGTTTCTTCTCCTTTAATTTTACTTTGCTTTCGTAATTAATCTAAATACATTGTTTTCTCTCAATTCTGGATTTTCAAATCCGAATTCTTTTTCTCTTTTGTAGTTTCAAATCACTTTTAGATCTGTAAGAAAAGTAATGATGTATGGATTCGAAGTGTCTCTCTTCAAAATCCATGGGGAACCATTGTTGCATTTTCAGGTTCTTCCTCTATTTAACCTTTAGAGGTTCACCATCTCTCACTTTCTCTTTAGTATCTCTCTGTTTCTTTTGTTGTTGAAACAGAGATTACCTTGTTCTCTCTTTACTCTCTTTGATTGTTACACAAACGTTTAGTAAGAGAGAAGAGAGAAACCATTAATTGTCTACATTTTGTTTATTGGATCAAAGGATACTTTTCTTACAAGACACACACACATACATATAGTGGTTCTTTCTCCACTTGCTACACTAGACTCACTTAGATTCGAGACCATACTTCTATGCATCATTACCCTAAGACTAGAACCAAACTTACAAGCAAGGAACTACTACACCTTACACAACAACAACTCCACTCTACTTTAGCTAAAGCCATAAGCAAACTCCAACAACTATTAGTTGGACAAGCTAACAACAACACTAACACATGTTTGGGCCTAACTAAATAATTAGCACAATCCCTTTTATTATTACAAAACAACAAGCCCAACTTCTTCTTCCTTGTTGACTTGTTCTTGTCGTTGACCTCTTTCACGACAACTTCTTCTTCTTCACTAGCTTCTTTTCTTTGCTCTGTTCTTCTTCTTCTTCTCACTAAAGCTTTCTCCTTTGTTGCAGGTTTAATCAAGAACTCAATCTCAACACTCCCTCTTGAGTTCTTCGATTAAATCCCCAATTTCAATTTTAGGGCTTTCAATCCCACGGCTTCTTCTTCTTCTCTTCAGCCTCTCTTCTCTTCTTCGGCGAGCATCTCCTTCTTGCTTCTATTCCTTTTAATAGAGCTTCTTTCTCTATCGTGGTGCTAAGCTTCTCCAACGGCAGCTAGAGGTCACAACTCTCACCGATCACCAGTCACTTCCGCCGTCTTCAACCACCACTTCCGTAAGTTTGCTCTTCTCCCTCTTAAGCTGAATCTCCATGGATCCAACCCTTTTCTTTCATTTTTTTGTGCGAATATCTTTGCCATCTCTTGGCTAGTTTTCTTCGCAATTTCCTCTGTTTCTTTGATCAATTTCTGACCAAAAACTTTTCTTTGCAGGAAAGACTTCAGCTCTTCCGCTTCATGTCTCCTCCAAGTTTTCTCCGTGAGCTCTTCTCACGTCTCTTGCTCGGCTGACGTTGCAACCGGCTTCAGCTCCCACTGTGGTGAGCTTCTTCTTTGCTTGGTGTCAACTGTGATCACCAGCCTTGTTCTCTCTCTTTTTTTTTTTTCGATTCTCCGAACCATCACCTTAGCTTTAGCCTTGGACTTTTGACTCTGGCACCATCACCCGGCTTCTCTTACCGTAGTCTCTTAGGTTTCTCCATGAGTTTCATCCTTGCTTTCTTTGCCTTAGTCGTTTGGTTCTTTGAATCTCCACCTCGGTTTTTCTCTAACCTTAGCTTGTTAGGCTCTTGAATCATCAACCTCCGCTTTCTCGGACTTGGTTTGTTTGACTCCTTGAACCGTTGGCTTTGGTCTTTCTCTAACCTTGGCTTCTCCTTCTCGTTTTCAGGTTTTGATCCACTCAGATTTCAACCCTAGTCACTGATTGGAGCTTCTTAACACCAGTGCTGCCACCTTAATTGCTTCCTCTTTGACGCAAGGCTTCACTGCCTACATTTCATCTTAGAGGTTGCAACCAAGCTTGCATTGGTGCCGTTTTTTCTTGTTCTACTTCAGCCACAGAATTCTCCCTCTCGGTTTGGCACTTCACAGGTTTGTCCTTGGCATCAACCTTCTTCTCAATCCATCTTTGTGAATTGTAACGTTGTTGAACCTTGAACTCTGTTTCATGCACACTAACCTCATGAGTTTCTGTTAAGATGGCTGCAGCAACTCTTCATTTGTCTTGAGCTCAGGTCCACTCAAGAACTTTTGCCTATGAGCTCAGGTCCGCTCAAGGCTTCTCTTCCAGAGGTTTGTCACTTCAACCTCTGTCTTCTTCTTTCATCTTTGCCGTTTTCTTCTTACGGCTCACTTCTTCTTTGTTGATGGCTGTCTCCATCTTCCTCACAGCTTCTTCTTCCTTGGACAGGCTCCAAGAACAAGTAGGCTCTGATACCATGTTGCATTTTCAGGTTCTTCCTCTATTTAACCTTTAGAGGTTCACCATCTCTCACTTTCTCTTTAGTATCTCTCTGTTTCTTTTGTTGTTGAAACAGAGATTACCTTGTTCTCTCTTTACTCTCTTTGATTGTTACACAAACGTTTAGTAAGAGAGAAGAGAGAAACCATTAATTGTCTACATTTTGTTTATTGGATCAAAGGATACTTTTCTTACAAGACACACACACATACATATAGTGGTTCTTTCTCCACTTGCTACACTAGACTCACTTAGATTCGAGACCATACTTCTATGCATCATTACCCTAAGACTAGAACCAAACTTACAAGCAAGGAACTACTACACCTTACACAACAACAACTCCACTCTACTTTAGCTAAAGCCATAAGCAAACTCCAACAACTATTAGTTGGACAAGCTAACAACAACACTAACACATGTTTGGGCCTAACTAAATAATTAGCACAATCCCTTTTATTATTACAAAACAACAAGCCCAACTTATTCTTCCTTGTTGACTTGTTCTTGTCGTTGACCTCTTTCACGACAACTTCTTCTTCTTCACTAGCTTCTTTTCTTTGCTCTGTTCTTCTTCTTCTTCTTCTTCTCACTAAAGCTTTCTCCTTTGTTGCAGGTTTAATCAAGAACTCAATCTCAACAACCATCTATGGAAGTGAATATGAGCCTTTGGATGTGTTGGGTCTTTTGCCAAAATGCAATTTCCGACGGCTACGCCGTATGTATTCCGGCATATTTTGCCGATTATATGTCAATTCTAACATTTTTTGTTAGTTTTGGGTTAGTTTCCGGTGGTCATCGTGATCGTTTGGTGGCTTTCCGATGTTTGAAACAAATCTGTGAAGATTTGTTGTGGAAACGGCGACCGCCTAGGAAACCGCCATGGAAACAAATCATAAGGACCTTGTATTTCTGTTCGTTGAAGAACGTCAACATGAGAATCGAGAGCATAGATTTATCATGGGCGATATTTACAACCAAAACAATGCCATCGTTTCACGCGAAAGATGGAAATGTTTGTATGGTTTGCGATGTAACTGATGGATCGCAATCTTTTGATTTTCAAAAAACGTATTGGAGTTTCACAAAAGAGATGATAGCCAAACAAGAAGATCAAATTAGACGAAAGACGAAGACGATCAAGGAAAATAACAGATTGTTAAATTTGTTAGCGTGTAAGGCTTACCTAAGAAAGGAAGCAACGTGTAATTTCACTTTTTCGATTATTTCGTGAAGCTTAAGTATTGGTTGTATGGATTGTAGAGCTCTCACTTATATGTTCACTGATATATTTGTAATCTCTCGTTAAAGTTAATAAAGAACGAAAAACGTTAAAAAAATAAAATAAAAGAAAGCCCAACACAATTTTGCCGACTTGTAATTTCTCTCGTACTGTGCCCTAATCGAGACAAATTAAAAAAAACAAAGAGTAGAGAATTCAAAAGGATTCTTGAGAGAAATTCAGTCGACGAATATTGGTGAGTGTTTAGTTCATTTCTTTATGAAATTTTGTGATATGAGGTCCTTTCGATCCAGTTGTTTGGGTGGTATGAGAAAATATGGCAAGACTGATACATGAGGACCACTGTTGATTACTCCTAATCGATGTTCCTTGGGGCTAAAAAGTGTAAGCACGTGTATAACTCTCTCGATATTTGATACTTGAAACGTGCCTGATCACTAGATGTTAAAAAGAAAATGAAAATAAACCTCTCTATTTTGCAATCCTAGAATGGTTGGAGTTTGAGACTTTCCTTATCTCTATTCGAAAAGCGGTAAATATTTTGAGGGTAACAGTTTGTGAATAGAATTCTATTTTTCTTTTAAAAATAACATTTCATTTTTTTTTCAGGATGTAAAATTGTAAATGATTGTTTTGAAAAAATCAGTGAAATAAAATTAAAACGAATTAATCACTTTGTTGTTTAGCCGTGATACTCGCGGCTTGTTGCATAATTACTATGTTTTGTGTAAACAATAAAAAAAGTTTTAGAAAATATAAAAATAAGACAAAACTACACATAGTATACAATATTTTTAAAGAAAAACATTGTTATCACATATATTTTATATTTTTGAAAATAATTCTAAAAGATAACTTTTATCTTTTTCTCTCTTTTTCATATTTCATATATTTAAGTTATAGTGATAGATTTTTATTTTTTTTACTACTAATTCGGATTACCAATTATATAACTGTTTTTTGGTAAATTTATTTTGAGAGGATTTTTTGCAATTTCCCTTTAAATGGGCCAAAAACATAAAATAATAAAAGAAAGCCCAACACAATAACAACATTCCTCAGGAATTGCTCTTTTGAGCACTAATTAATTTTGGATGACAAAAAAAAAAAAAAAAAGCCCAACACAATTCTGCCGAGTTGTAATTTCTCTCATACTGTGCCCTAATCGAGACGGAAAAAAAAGCGTAGAGAATTCGAAAGGATTCTTCAGAAAAATTCAGTCGACGAATATTGGTGAGTGCTTGGTTCATTTCTTTTATGAAATTTTGTGATATGAGGTCCTTTCGATCCAGTTATTGTGGTGGTTGTCCAAATTGAATGATAACGTTTTAGGGTTGCATGTTCCCTCCGTTACCCGATTGATAGATGGATTTTTAAAAAATGATTCCAACGAGTCTTTCTAAGTTGGGAAAAACTTTGATAATTTTGCATTTTTTATTGTCTTTTTTTTTGTATTATTTATTGTTTTAATTATTGGAAAGCTCTGATCAGGCTCTTTAGGGATGGCATCAACTCGGACCTCCTGTAGTAATTGTCGTCTATTGGCACCGGATATCAGCTGATTTTATCCATAGGTTACAGGGTCAGTGATGTTACTATTTTTTAGTCTCTTCCCTTTGAGAGTTTTACGAAAGTCTTTTTTTTTTTTTCTTTTTCTAGGACGCCTTCATCTGGGAAGGAAGACATAAAAGCTGAGGTTATACGACTAGGAGTTGATCTCTCTCTCTCTCTATAGTTGAATCCATGTTTTTGCTCTCTGATGACATTCACACTATGTTATGGTTTTGCTATGGAGATGTACAATACCGCATTGGGAACTCGTGTCAGAAAGGCTGCTTCGTGTTATCTATTATGTCTACTCAAAAGATATCAAACCTAAGAATGCAGTTTATAAGGATGGTTCAAAATCAGTTCAGTTTCAGTTGATCAAGACCACTTGGAAGGATTTTTCTGACGGAGTTATAGTTTTGCATCGTCTTGTTAAGGTTCTAGGAAGAAAAGACTGGTCTTTCGATGATCGGTTATCATCCTCGACTATTGAAAAATGCAAGCAAGTGCTCAAGAGGGTAGATGATGAATTGAGGTCTGCAAAACCTGTTTCTGAGTCGAATGGGTTTACGAGGGAAATTATTGAGTCCAAGATTTCTGACTTGTGGGTGTCTCTCTTTGATGAAGAAGTTGTTGACTTGTGGAAGTCTTCTCTCTTTGATGAAGAAGCTGGTCAAGAACCAGCCAAAGTGATCAAGATTAGGGTTCTTCGAGACCTTTTTCAGCCTATTATGGGTAACTCATGGCATTGCTATGCCAACCCTAAAGCTCCTTTGAGACATAGCGAGATGCAGAGACTTCCTGTATATTCTCCTTACATTTGGCCTGTGTATTCTCCTTACATTCTAAGGTCAGTAACTCATTCTGGTTACATACAAAGTCGTTGTCTCTCGCCATCTCTGAATTCTGTTGTTGTTGTTGCTGTTTTGGCAGGAATGATTTTGCAAAGCAGGAGATGAAAGAGGAGGTTGTGCGACTAGGAGTTGAGATCTCGCTACATGTGGTTGGATCAGTGTTCTATCTATATGATGACATTTATAATATGTTACGGTTCTACTACAAGTTATTGGAAGATGCAAAAAAGGACCTGGCTCATAACAGTCCCGTGATGAAAAGCCTGATTGGTGTTATTCATTATGTCAACACAAAATATATCAAACCGAAGAATGGAGTATGTCAGAATGGTGGACAGTCGGTCCAGTGGAGACTGATCTGGACGACTTTGGAGAGTTTTGGTACTGGAATCAGAGACCTGGACCTCCTTGTTTCGATTCGAAGAAGCGGAGGAAGCTATTTGGATGGCCGAGAGTTTGCATCTAGTATTGAGAAGGCTACTTGCTAGTTTCTTCTTGCTTCTCTATCTATCGGATTAGAGTTTCTTTTAAGGGTTAATTACGGGGCAGACCCATGTTTTATGTTTTTCTTTCAGGTTTTGACAAAGTGGGGAAAGGCTTTCACCATTTGACAATTATGTCAATTTCAGACGAAAATGCCCTTCTAGCCGAACCGGTATACAGTGACAGCGAACGAAATCGTCAGGCGAATTGGTTACGTACACTGTATATCGTTAACTACAGTACACGCGCTATGTATAGTACACTCTCGTTAGCTACAGTGTAAAAACAAAATTAAAAAATAGAAAAATATAAATAAATAAGATGATTATTATTTTTCACCTTTTTTTGTTTTTCACATTTTTGTCTCTTTTCATTTTTATAAATATTTATTATTTTTGTACTTTCAATTAAAATTTAATTTTTTCTATCTTTTAATAACCATTTTCATATATATTTTTACACTCTGAACTAGATATTAACCCGCGGTACACCGCGGGTCTATAATTTTATTAAATAATAATAAATTTTTTTTTTTAAGATGATCTATAGATATATGCTATTGTTTTATTTGATTTAAATGTATGGTACATTGTATGACGATATTTATAACAAAAGATTTAAAATTTGAAGTTTTATTTGTTTTGTTAATATTATTTGTTTAGTTTTGTTTAGTGTTTAAGATTGTATAGTTATATTTTGATTGTTAATTATAGGATTTTACCCGTAGTATATCATACTGTATTAATATCGACCACAAACTCGTCCGCGACCATATAACTCTGTCCCGTCCAATCTACATCATTTTGTCATTTTCCAATAAAATTCAAAGATTTCTAATATTTGAAACTTCATTTAATATCGACCCAAAATTCATAATAGTATTTTGATTGTTATATCTAGGATTTCACCCGTAATATATCGTCCCGTATCTTTTGTAAATATTTATAATGTTTAAATTTCTTATAAATTATTATTAAATTCAACTTTTTAATATTTGAAACTTTATAAAATTCCTAATATTATAAATATTTAAAACGTTTTATAAAATTAAACTTTTTAAAAAGTTTAAATAAATATAATATTTTACTTTTAATAAATTTTAATAGATTAAATTAAGAACTTATATTTAAAATGTTTTCTTTGGAAACTTTAATAGATTAAATTAAGAACTTATATATAAAATTAGTCAAAACCAAAATATACATAAAAAAGTATTAGAAAACATTAAACATGAAATACATTGGATAAGAAAATAAAATATATATGATGTGATTTTTAACCATATAAAACATGTAATTGTTATAAAAGGTTTTAAAAGATTAGAAAAATTACACTTACCAACCAAAACACGGATCCACAGGTTTTTGTAAAAGTATATATCATAAAAACAATTAAAATACATAACATTAGAATAATGAAAATTAAGAATAAAAACTTTGTTTTATTAACAAATTCGTTTCCTTTTTTCGTTAAAGAAAATGAATTAATAGAATGGACTTGTTATGTTAGCCTATAAAAGAAAATCATTTACAATCATTATGAGGAAACATGAAATTCTAAAAATGTAAAAAAATACTGGACATTAAAAAATTTGTATCTGAAGATAACAAGAAGGACTAACTAACCTTTTAATGCATACCTTATTTGATAGTTTCTTTGGAGACGGAGATGATGATGTCCATAGTTTCCAAGATCTTAAAATCGAAAGCTGCAACATAAGAAAAGTAGGTGACAATTAATTTTTTAAAAGAAAACAAACGTGAAATATAAAATGTACTAAGAACATTGTTTAAAAGAAGCCATATAAATCTCTATTACGAAAACGTTTAGTATTGTGGATCAATGGTTGAAAAGATCTTCTTTATATAGATGAATGAAAAGTACTCGAGAAGTTTAGGTTTGACCTACAAATTAAAAATTTTTTGCAAATATTCGAAAATTATATATTTGATTCCTAATATATTCGATTTTGTATTATCAACTGAATAACGTCTATATGCATGGTGGGATTTATGAATGAGGAAAGCTAATTAAAGATATTTCCATTTGTTTTAGGAAGTTTGTTGAATAATATCTAAACGAAACAAAAAAATCTTTTAAAGATATTTTATGAGAAATAATATATTCGCCAATTTGGGTTGGAGATCAAGTATATGAAAATCTCGTAAATATTATATGTTATATTTATTACATATACTAATTTTCACATTGTAGTTATTTAAATCAAAGATTTTAATGAGTTAATTATGGAATACAAAATATCTATGTAAATCAAAAAGTTTAAAGAACCAATAGCGCTGGAATTGATTTTTTTGCTATAACGATTACTAAAACATTTAAGTAAATAAAGATATTTCGTTATGATTTTTCAGCATATTCGAATTGTTGATTATTTCGAAATTTAAGGATGTTTAAGAAATCATGATTGATTTCCGATTTCATAAATTTTGATTAGAATTAAAAATAAAAGATTTAGTATTTAGATAAGGAATATACTATAATAAGGATTATTAGTACTAAAATATATTAGGAATATTCGTATTGTTAGTTTATTTAATTCAAAAATTATAATTTGCGGATTTAAAGGAAGATCTTCTCGAGATTTTAGGAATATAATCGAGATTTTAGTAACAAATGTGATCACATTAAATTTTCGAAAGATTTGAAATATTTGTGTCCAAATTGTTAGAAACAAATTAGGATAGATAATTTTTGGTTAGTATCTTTTTTAATATTTTCAAATCTTAAGAATTAAACCCATTGACATTATATTGTTGAATTTATTTTTTTTAAAATTACGTAATATTAAATAAAAAAAATTAAATAACTATCTATTTTCATTTGATGGTGTAGACAAATTATTATTATTATTTATGTAATTTAATTACAAATAACAAATATTAATTTTTATAACAAAACAAATTATTTTCGTAAGAACAATTTTTTCCCAAATCAATATTTTACAAAATATTTATTTTAATCACATATTCTTTCTATATAGAAATAAATAGTTAAATAATTATTGTTAGAAGTAGTTAAGGTAATTAACAAATATGGTTAGTTTAGATATATTATATATATTTCCAATTTAGGTGTTAATTAAGAATTAATGTGGTTTTAAGACAACATTCCTTAAATCTCTTATCCTAGATCCGAATAGGATTAAACCGGGTAAAACCCGGATCCAAAAGACTTTTTGCAAAAATCCCCTGTAAAAATGTATATGTAGATAATAATTTATTTCTTAATTTTAATCGTGTTGTTGAAGATAATTTAAAACTAACAATATCATGTACTCATGTGTACGTACACGGTAGTAATTTATGTGTGTATATGTATATAAACATCTAAATAATTTGTATATTTATGTTTAAATATTTTTTGAATATAAAAACAAAACATTCAAACCATGTACGAACTACACCTAAAAAAGATACCTAAAATTAAAGAATCAAACTGAACCTATTCGAAAAATATGAACTGAACCTGAAACTAACAAAATATCTGAATGAAATTAAACTTTTATACCTGAATAACCATAACCATAGTTGAAGAACCAAAACCTAATCCGAACCAAACTGAGAACCGAATGGGTATCCGAAATATAGTTATATACCAAACATATGAATTATATTTAGACATTTATATCATAATTACCCAGATTACAATTATAAACACTTAGGTGTCAATTATTTAAGACAGAAAAATATCCAAATTTTTTACTTATATTTGTCAAAAAAAAAAATTAAGCAAATTTTATTTAAATTTAATAAATTTTAACTTTTACCAATATTTTGGGTACCCGGAACTGAACCAAAAATATCTGAAACCAAACTGAACCAGACCAAAATTTTAAGATACCAAAAATGGATATAAAATCATTCTACCCAAAGTACCATGTACCAAAAGAATCTTACTAGAAACCAAACCAAATATCTTAATGTTTAGCCTAGTACGAACTATTATGCTGACTTTATGGGACGACACAAATATCAGTATTGACACAATATACCAGCATACATAGGTGCACACACATGCTTATTAGAGAAGTTAACATACACAAGTACATATATTGGTGATTATGTACGTAAACATGTAGTACTGTGTACGTGAAAGACGAGATAGTAATCGTGACAGAGAAATGGTGTCACTGCCCCATGTGTGGGGATTTGCAGGAAGATAAGTACAACTATCATAGACAAGTGAACATGTTTGTGTCATTTGTCTTCTCCGTTAGGGATGGTGTGAATAGTGTGTGCATGATGGAGGATTTGGCTGATGAAACTAACATGGTTTGGGGGTGAAAATGCAACAAAAACCACATTGGAGGCTCTAAATGTGGATGAAAACAATGAGAAAGTAGATGAAGAAGAAGAAGTAGATGACAATAAAGAAGATAAAGAGAAGGAGGATGATGAAGAGGACGATGGAAAACGATTAGTCAAGTAGGGGAATATCCTAGAACCGACTATAAACGGAAGTAAAGGTATTGTCGAAGATTACATTACAACATGGGACATGTCGGGGATGTTCGTGACACTAAACCGATTGTGAGACCAGCTTGAAAATTCAGTTTATTAATAGAAACATGTACTTATACTAATGAACGTGTACATGATGGAAAAAGCATCGATCATTTTGGAAAGAATTACGACATTTAACCATTTGTGAGTCCTAACTGGGAGGTAAGATATGATTTTTGGAAGAATGTACGTACACTACTAACAAGGTACCCGATGAAATATGTAAAGGTGAATGTTTTACGTACACGAATATAGATGGGCATGGTAGATTTGAAATGAATGGTAATGGTGTGCAATTTAGTATTGGAAGATCGGTCTTACCTGAATCAAAGTATGATTTATTAACAATGAATGATTCTTCTGAAGTGTATAATGGCTTTTCTATATTGCTAAGTGGTGAGGTGGAGTTACTCAATAATGATGATGTTTCAATTTCGACGATTTATGTAAGACCCAACTCAGCCCACTACGTTTACGAATCTTATATATTAGTTTAGAATCTTATATATTATCCACCAATAATATTATGTAACATAACGTTTATTAAAAAATTTAAAATAATAATTACACAGAAAGATGGAGGACCTTTCTGATGAAACTGACCATGGGTCGGTGGTGAAAACAATGAGGAAGTAGATGAAGCAGAAGAAGTACAGAGTGATAAAAAGGATGAAAAAAAGAGGATGAGGACGACGAAAAAGAGAAAGGATGAGGAAGGGGACGATGAAGATGACAACTATAAACGGTAATAAAGGTAGTGGCGAAGATTACATTACAACAAGTTGACTGATTTTGTTGTTGAGAAATATGGGATATGACATGTCGGGAATGATGGTGACACTCAACTTACTGTGGGGCTAACATGAAAATTCAGTTGATTATTAGAAACGTGTACGTATACTAATTAACGTGTACGTAACTGAAAAAACATCGATTATTTTGGAGAGAATGGTGATATTCAACCATTTGTGAGTCATAACCATGAGATAAAACATGATTTTTAGAAAAATGTACGTACATTACTAAATATGTACACGAGAAATCATCTGACGGTAAATGTTTGACGTACACATATACAAATTGGCATGGTAACTGTAAAGTGAATGGTAATTGTGTGAATTTTATTCTAGTCTTTGATGATTTAGTCAATACCCGAGTTGATGAGACAAAAATATAAATTAGTATGGCAAGAGAGACATTGTTTGTTGGAAGTGTATTTAGAAACAAAAAAAAATCAAATAACAATGGCTTCATCTCCAGTAGGAGCGTCGTAGAATACACCCCCACCATCGCCAATATGGGTTTATTATTGTATCAATAAATTTATCTTAACAAATTTAACACACCAACAAAGATGTACGTACATTATTACACGTATACATACATAACTTTTTCAGAAGTATGAGGAACAATATTTTTTCACCATATATTTTTATTTAATTATTATATTTGCATGAATTTTATTGAGATATATATGAATAATAACAAAATAGCTCAAATTTGGAGTCAAATCATTAATTGTTAGTTTTTTCGTAGAGGGTGGTTTGATATTTATTACAACCACTTTAATATCGAACCATATACATAAGTTCCACTAAATATTTTTGTGTACGTACACCGTAAATTGCATATACGTACACAGAAGAAATTCGATGAAGAGTATAAATGTAATTTTCCAGTCATCTTCAACCTGAGTATCCTCCTCTGCAACCCTAATTTTGCGGCCGTCATTAGCAGTTATCTCAGAATCTTGTTTTTTTTTTCACCTTTTGAATTCTCTTTACATATAAATCTTGTAAAGCTAAAGTGTTTGAGTTTCCAGAACTTTGTTGTATTTTGTTCGTCGCCGGAAATATGAAATTTGTTTGCTTTTGCTCGTCTAGGCAAAAACAAAAGATAATGAGAAAGTTAAAGAGGAATCGAAACGGAATTCGCCGGAATTTTTTGGGGTTTTGGTCGTTTCCAAGTAGATGAATAATAATGAGAGATTAGATTGAAGAATGGAAACGGTTTCTACTCTGGGTTTTCCTCCTCGAGCTCTTCACTTACGTCGACTATGTTCTTTGTTTTCCAATGTTGTTTTTAATTCAAAAAAATTTTAAACTAAATAAAACTAATTTTCAGATACCAAACCAATTGAAAAAAACCGATATACTTGTGAAAAAAAAAAAAAAAAAACCGAACCAAGTTACACTTCTAATTGAGGGCAGTTTCGTCAGAAATATGACAAATTGTCAAACGGTGAAAGCCTTTCCCCACTTTGTCAATTGGTGAGACAAAAAATCATTTCTGTCCTTTTTGTGAAAATTTCTTTTCTTTTAATTTCATGTAATGGACTTGGATTTCCCCTTTTGCTGACTATCCGAACAACCTTTTATGCTTACTTCAAGTTTAATGATCAAAATCCAATTATATCAAAACAGGTTATTTTTTCCTTCCACGATAATATAAAACAAGAAAAATGTAAAACCTTATAGCAAAAACTCATAAAATAATTGTTTCCATTCAAAGCCTTGAGAATTTATGGAAAAACTAAAAAAAAAAAAAAGTTATTTAATTTCCATTCAAGACCAAAAGATATCTACGACCAAAAAAAGACCAAAAGTCAAAAGATAGATATCCGAGACCGAGAGTGGGTATTTTATATTTCCAAACCAATACATATCATTTATCAATAAGTAGTCTACACAGATTAACTTAAAAAATTATTATATGACTAATTCCAAGTTTCCTACCATTTTTTCAATGTAATTTCTATACAAGAAAATTCACTATTAATTTTTTAAAAATCTTTGCAATAATTATTAAATTTTAATCTCACCCATTAACTTTAACAGTTACCATAATCAGAAAGATTACAACTTCCTTTTTTGTTTCCGACCTAGCTCTCACATAAAACCAAGATTTTTTATCACCAAATCTAGAAACAAAGCTAAACTTTCCAGTTTCATTTAGATTCTACCTTAATAAATAATAACGCAATCAAAAACCTCACATAATCAAAAGAAAACAGAGTAATAAAATCTTCATCAAAATATCTACAATTAATTAAAAAAACATTAATCTCACGACCTTGTTAAATAAATCCATTTCCTCCACTACTTTCATTTACCCTCCCTCTCTTAAAACTCTTACGTTTCGTTACCATCTAACAAAAATCAGAAGCTGTAATAATGGGAACTCATCGAATTTTCATAGGTCTTATCGCTCTTTGTTGTTTTTGTCTACCTCATCTCATTGAAGCTAAACCATTCGGAGTATACCAACAACAAGTGTTCGTGGATCAATCGGGCCATGGAAATTTCACGACAATACAAAAAGCTATTGATTCTGTTCCAATCAACAATCGTCATTGGTTCTTCATCAACGTTAAAGCTGGCCTTTACAGGTTAGTCTAGCGATGTTTTAATTGACTATGAATAAAGTTACATATGTCTTGTAATGAAGTTATATATGCGAAAGTGCTTAGTAATGTTTTTTCTCTGTCTTGTTGTATATAAAGAGAGAAAATAAAGATACCGTATGAAAAACCGTTCATAGTATTAGTAGGAGCTGGGAAGAGGTTAACGAGAGTTGAATGGGACGACCATTACTCGGTTGCACAAAGCCCTACCTTTTCTACTCTAGCCGATAACACCGTCGTTAAAAGCATCACTTTCGCCGTACGGTGATTTTTGTCTTCTGTTTTTTTTTTGGTGCATTTTTCTTCTGTTGATTTTTTTTTGATTGAAGAAATAAAAGGATTTCATTTTTTTAATATTTTTATAGAATTCATACAACTTTCCTAGCAAAGGGAAAATGAACAAGAACCCTAGAACTCCAGCCGTAGCCGCGTTGATAGGTGGCGATAAGTCAGCTTTCTACTCTGTAGGGTTTGCTGGAATTCAAGATACCTTGTGGGACTCGGATGGTAGGCACTACTTCCACCGGTGTACCATACAAGGCGCGGTCGATTTCATCTTTGGTAGCGGCCAATCTATTTACCAGGTGATCCGTTACATTCTTCACATAATAATGTTGGTTTTGAAGTTATGAATAGGATGATATTAATATCCCAAATCTACAATAATTTTGCAATTTTTTAGAAGCCGGATTTGCCTTTAAAATGGCCAAGAATTTGTTAACAGTAGACGTCCCTAGTTGTGATGTACTCAATCTAGATATATCGTTAACCACTGAGATGTTTTTACTTTTCCTATGTCCAAAAAGAAAAATATCAAACTGATGTTTAATTTTATGAAAAGTAAAGATATGATTTAAAAAAATTGAATCCAAACTAAGAATGTTCTTGATTCAGTTTTGATTTGATAACCATTTTCAAAAAAACACGAAAAGCTAAATATCCCTAATGGAACCATTCCTAATATTCCTTTAGAATTCACATACAATTAATGTCCCATTATAAAACTAAAATTCCTATTTATTCGGGGTCTATAGTTTCATTAAATAAAAGGTGTGTGTTTGGTGGGTTGTAGAGTTGTGTGATACAAGTGCTAGGTGGGCAGCTAGAACCGGGGCTAGCGGGTTACATAACGGCTCAAGGACGGACCAACCCGTACGATGCAAATGGATTCATCTTCATCAACTGCCTTGTATATGGAACGGGCATGGCCTTCTTGGGCAGGCCGTGGCGCGGTTACTCTCGAGTGATTTTTTACAACTCGAACCTGACCGATGTAGTTGTTCCTGAAGGATGGGATGCATGGAACTTCGTGGGCCACGAAAACCAGCTGATCTTTGCAGAACATGGATGCTTTGGAAGTGGAGCAACTACAGGAAGACGTGTGAAGTGGGTTAAGAAGCTTAGTGGATCTGCCATTCAAAATTTGGCTGATCTCAGCTTTATTAATCGTGGTGGATGGGTTGAAGATTTACCCATCCCTGCTTGATCTCTCCTTTGCTTCTAGTTTTTGATTTTATTTTTTAGATTTCTTATTGATCATCCCTCTTTATTTAGTTTAACCAAATGTAGTAATTTGTTATGCTTTATATTCTTTTAGTTTGACATTGACATACAAAATGATGCAGCGTCATCTATGATACATGGGCTTTTATTATGGGCTTTATTTACATATGAGCCTTTATTTATTAGCTTCTTAATTATGTTAGGGTTTTTGTTTTATGTCTTCTATTTAAGTAAACCTCTAGACTCGATTGTAGGCAGCTTTTGATTATTGAATAAACGAGTTTTAAGAGAGCTTTGTGTAAAGCCTAGAGAGGAGGACTCTCAACCCTAAGAGCTTGTGTTCAAGCCCTGCAAGGAGGACTTGCAAAACCCCGTCGATATCGTTCCCTGGAGCCGATCTCGACCCTATCTCTATTGCTTCTTCGTCAGGTTTTGACGTTCTAAGCAAGATCCGTTCTTGAATCCGAGTTCTCGTGGAGATCTTGTGTTCTCGTCCGTTATTTAGCTTCCGCTCTGATACCTGATGCAGCGCATCTTCAAGATCGAACGTCGCAAGATTCGAGGACGAATCTTCTCTAACCTGAGGAGACTGATGCAGCGTCATCTATGATACATGGGCTTTTATTATGGGCTTTATTTACATATGAGCCTTTATTTATTAGCTTCTTAATTATGTTATGGTTTTTGTTTTATGTCTTCTATTTAAGTAAACCTCTAGACTCGATTGTAGGCAGCTTTTGATTATTGAATAAACGAGTTTTAAGAGAGCTTTGTGTAAAGCCTAGAGAGGAGGACTCTCAACCCTAAGAGCTTGTGTTCAAGCCCTGCAAGGAGGACTTGCAAAACCCCGTCGATATCGTTCCCTGGAGCCGATCTCGACCCTATCTCTATTGCTTCTTCGTTAGGTTTTGACGTTCTAAGCAAGATCCGTTCTTGAATCCGAGTTCTCGTGGAGATCTTGTGTTCTCGTCCGTTATTTAGCTTCCGCTCTCTATCACAAAATAACAAAACATTTCAGAGAGCTTGTTTTTATATTTCTCCTTTTGTTTTTTCTTTGCAATAAGTTTAACACAAGCGCGTGGATGAAGGTACATTTGCGACATGTGTTGATTTAAAGTTTTAAACACAAGTTTTGTAAAACTCATATTACACCGCAATAGTTTTATGTTCATGTGAATGAACGAAGATGAACTTTTGTGGTTTGGGAAAGTGAAGTCACGGCATCACACCTACATGCAGCAAAAATTGAGAATTCAGTAGTTGAATAAGAGAATCTATATATACATTTTTGGATCACAATTAGCAAATAAATCCTGAAGTTGAGAAGTATTTACAATGGCATGCCATTAGCATTAATTATTTAGATTTATTTTATTTAAGTAAAGATTTTTAAATGAAATTCATTTTTTCATATATTTAGCAAAAGTCTCTACAAAATCATTCTTTATCTATTTAAGTAAAGATTTTGAAATCAAATATGTTCTCAACAATTTACCAAAAATTTCTACACAATCTTTTTAAAAATCTCGACTTAGTTAACTTCTGATTTTTATCTGCAAAAAAAAAATTAATAGTAACGAGTGATGTAAAAATCGGGAATGTTGATATTACAATTTCTTCTACTTTTTTTTTTCATATAATGAAAATTAGTTTTAGGGATATTTTCTCAAAACCTCTAAATAAAACAAAAGGTTTCAAAAGATAGCTTCTCTTTTGGCGGGTCGACCCGCAAATCCGCAACTCTCTACGGGCTTATCCGCATGAACCTGCGACCAGTAGTGGATAAAAATATTATTCAAAAAAAATAACAAATGATGTTTAATTTTACGGGACGGGGTTATATGGTGCAACGGGTTTAGATCAATATTAATATTAAACAATATTAAACAATATACGATGGATGAAATCCTAGAATTAAAAATCAAAATTTAATTATAAAATCAGAAACACTAAACAAAATAAACAATATTAACAAAACAAATACAACTTAAAATTTTGCAAAATAATTTTTTTGTTGTAAAAAAATCGACCCGCGGTGTACCGCGGGGTAAAATCTAGATTTGGAAGTTTAAGGAAGAAAAATCTTTTTTTAAAAAATAATAGCTCCGCGGTGTACCGCAAGAAAAATCTTTCTCTTAAACTGAGGCAAAAAGAAGAAGAAAGCCAAATGTCGTTTAAGTGTATATAACTATATATAGATATACCATTTAAACCTAAAACACAATTAATATACTCAAAACTATTAATATAGATATATGAATGGTACATTTATAAAATAGGTCGAAATATTATATTATACTCTCTATTAATAAACAAAACTAATTATCTATATATACATTTTTGGATCACAATTAGCAAATAAATCCTGAAGTTGAGAAGTATTTACAATGGCATGCCATTAGCATTAATTATTTAGATTTATTTTATTTAAGTAAAGATTTTTAAATGAAATTCATTTTTTCATATATTTAGCAAAAGTCTCTACAAAATCATTCTTTATCTATTTAAGTAAAGATTTTGAAATCAAATATGTTCTCAACAATTTACCAAAAATTTCTACACAATCTTTTTAAAAATCTCGACTTAGTTAACTTCTGATTTTTATCTGCAAAAAAAAAATTAATAGTAACGAGTGATGTAAAAATCGGGAATGTTGATATTACAATTTCTTCTACTTTTTTTTTTCATATAATGAAAATTAGTTTTAGGGATATTTTCTCAAAACCTCTAAATAAAACAAAAGGTTTCAAAAGATAGCTTCTCTTTTGGCGGGTCGACCCGCAAATCCGCAACTCTCTACGGGCTTATCCGCATGAACCTGCGACCAGTAGTGGATAAAAATATTATTCAAAAAAAATAACAAATGATGTTTAATTTTACGGGACGGGGTTATATGGTGCAACGGGTTTAGATCAATATTAATATTAAACAATATTAAACAATATACGATGGATGAAATCCTAGAATTAAAAATCAAAATTTAATTATAAAATCAGAAACACTAAACAAAATAAACAATATTAACAAAACAAATACAACTTAAAATTTTGCAAAATAATTTTTTTGTTGTAAAAAAATCGACCCGCGGTGTACCGCGGGGTAAAATCTAGATTTGGAAGTTTAAGGAAGAAAAATCTTTTTTTAAAAAATAATAGCTCCGCGGTGTACCGCAAGAAAAATCTTTCTCTTAAACTGAGGCAAAAAGAAGAAGAAAGCCAAATGTCGTTTAAGTGTATATAACTATATATAGATATACCATTTAAACCTAAAACACAATTAATATACTCAAAACTATTAATATAGATATATGGATGGTACATTTATAAAATAGGTCGAAATATTATATTATACTCTCTATTAATAAACAAAACTAATTATATTTAGATTTTTTTTAAAAAAATTATAGCCCCGCGGTGTACCGCGGGTTCAAATCTATAAAACATATTATTTAATTTACACAATTGTCTTAGATTATTATGGGCCTTAAGACAAAACATCACACTGATCCAAGATTATTATGGGCCTTTAGGCAAATATAAATTCTGGGGTCCATTAATCCAAGATGATTCAAAATTGCCATTTTTTATATAAAAAAACATGAATTTACATTTATTAGGTATTAGATTTTTTAGGGTATAGTATTGGTTAGGGAAAATTCCCAAAAAATAAATAGTAATTTTTATTTGGACGTTTAATACCCAATATTTTTGGATTGAAATAAAACTAACCCATCTAATTATTTGTGGTCATAAAATACCACATATATAATTATTGGTGGAATCGAACCTGTAATATAACGGTGTTAAATTTTAATTTCACATGTTTTAATCTATATATACAATCATTTGGATAAAATTAATGAATACATCATCCTAGTCTATGTATACAATCATTTAGCTAAAATTAAATGAAATTGAACTAATTAGATGAATTATGTGTTTTATGAAAAAAATTCCCAAATATTTTTTTTTAAATGTTAAAAATGGCAAATTTGAAAGAATATTGTGAAAATGGCAAATTTATAAAATGGTTGAGCAGAATGGCTTTTTAAACCAAAAAAAAAGAATGGCTTTTTAAACAATACTCCCAATTTAATATAGTTACCTTTTTTTTTTCAACTTACCTATATTAAATCTTGTTTGAATATAAAATTTATTTTATTAAAGAAATATAAAATCAAAAATATACTGTCTTTTTAGCAGTGTTCAAGAAAACGCTAGGCGCTAAGCGGGCGGTGACCCAATGCCTAGCGCCTAGAACGCCTAATCGGGGCCTAGACGATTTTTAGGCGGTTTAGACGTTTATAACATAAAACATTATAAATATGATATTATATATAAAAGCTATATAAAATATCTATATAAAACCAAAAATTATGAAATTATAAAAAAAAACTACATAAAACATTTATTTATATTTATATTAAATAATATATAAATATTTATAACTATATATATAAATAAAATTCTTATTGAAATTGAAAAAATACATTAAACAAGATCTGTGTAATTTTAGGCGGTCAAAACGGTTATCTAGGCATCGCATAAGAGCCTAGCGCCTAATCGGGGCCTAGGCGACCGCATAGACCGCTTTTTAGTCCCGGACTGTCCCATCTTGTGCTCATCCTAATGAGTACATGTCTTACATTTATCTCAACTTATGATGGATCAATACAATAGATAGATATTTGGAATTAACAATTTCAACTACACTAATCGTATGGATTGTATCAACTGAAGTTATATCATAGATTTATAGTATACTAATCATGTTAACCGCACTAATCTAACTGATGAAACAGAAAAGCATGAAACAGCCCTTTTTGTCATTTTTATATGATACGTAAACGTATATTATATTTCTATCAATTATTTAAAATTCGTACTACTTTATTATATTCAAAATACTAAACATATATAGTATATTCATAATCGGCGAAGTTGGCAGCTACTAGCTAGAGACATCAATATAAATATCCCGAAGCCATGTGTTTGACTTCAACTTGTTCAGTTGTTAATAATTAAATACCTCTAAACTTCTATGTTTTTGTGTTATTCTACTTTGATCAAAACATGTATAATG